TCCTTTGCATTTCTGAGCCAGTTTCTACATGAATTTATTGCTCGCTAAGGAGTGCTGCAGGCAGTATTCCATATAAAAGTCCTGACATTGACAGTTGTGAATTCACAAAGTGGATATCTGGTTCAAACCTGTCTTTCAGTTCCACCTGAACTCAATAGGATTTTGAGAAAATCCTGCTAAACTGAGTGGGCAAAAAGGTGGCAGATGGGCTTCAATGTAAATAAATATATTGCCTAGGGACATTAGGGATGCATAATTTAATCCATACTTAAATGATGCCAAAACCCCAAACTGTCACTTGAAACTCAAGGATTGCTCTGAAGTCATTAATAAGAGTCCCAAGGCCAAGAGAACACTGCCTGTCATCACAAAACTATGACAAAAGGACAAAGGACAAAACAGGAAGCTTCTTTTTGCAGCTGATTTTGTTTTGTACAAAAGCCTGATGTGTAGTGTCTCAAGAATAAATGTGCTTCTGGCCTCTGTCTCTCAAGAAGGACTTGAGAGGTGAGAGATGGGTGCCAAAAATGTGAAAAAGAGGAGCTGCCTCATAAGGAGAAACTGGACAGGCTGAGACTCTTGCATCTGTACAGAGTAGTCTGAGGAGGTTGTAATCAAGATTACAGAATCACCAGATCCTGTCATACCTGAAATAGGAGGCACTCTCTGAAACTGCTGGGGACAGATCCAGCAATTCCACCTGCACAGGACTGCAGATAGTGGCTGGAGTTGTGGGATCTTCCTGTACTGCACCTTCTGCTGCCATCAGATGAAACAAAGTCTTGGGCTAGGGGGACCACTGGTTTGAAGAAGCTTGGTATTATGTTGTTAACATAATTCTAGCAAGATAATGTTTCATGAGGGCAGTTATTTGTCTTTGCTTGCCTCTGAATAGAAACTCCTCCAGGAATGTGCTGTATTATTTTCATTTCTGTTTTGAATGCAGTTTAAAATCTTTAAGCTTTACTGCTGCCTTCCTAGATTGGATTTTTTTCTCACTATTTAATTTCTTTTGCAAATTTTCTATCTACTCTGATTTCTGGTTAGAATAGATCAGTAATAGTTTACTCTTTTTTTTTTCCTCCTGATTGTTGTGCAGAGCTTTTCAAGTTTCACTTTGTTACTGTGTCTAACTCTGTCTAACATAAGTGGGATGGATCCCTACTGAAAGGTGTTATTTCTCCATTCCCTACTATGGGAATTTAGATAAATATCTTAGACTAAAACCCCTAACTTTAAGATAGCTAATGCTGGGTGAAATTGATTTGCCCCAGATATATAAAATGCTTCCTGTGATTATGCATGGTTCATTTATATAAGAATATCTGTTTCACACTGTTGGTGACACAGACAGTGGGATTGAGTGCACTCTCAGCAAGTTTGCCAACACCACCAAACTCTGTGGTGTGGTCAACATGCTGGAGAGAAAAAATGTCACCCAAAGGGACCTGGACAGGCTTGAGGGGGGGCCCATGAACTTCAACAAGACCAAGTGCAAGGTCCTGCAACTGGGTTGGGGCAATCCCAAACACAAATACTGACTGAGAATGGATTGAGAGCAGCCTGAAGGAGAAGATCTTGGGGGTGTTGGTTGAAGGGAAGCTCAACATGAGCCATCCATGTGCCCTTGCAGTCTGGAAATCCAACCACATTCTGGACTGTATCAACAGCAGCAAGGGCAGCGGGTTGAGGGAAGTGATTCTCTGCTCTACTCTGCCCTCATGAGAACCTTGGCTGGAATGCTGCATCTGGCTCTGGAACCTCCAACACAAAATGAACATGGACCTGCTGGAGGAAGTCCAGAGGAGGGCCACAAAGAGTATCAGAGGGATGGGACACCTCTGCCTTGAAGACAGGCTGAGAGAGCTGGGCTTCTTCAAAAGGCAGAAGAGAAGGCTCCAGGTAGATCTTAGAGGACCTTCCAGTAAAGGGGACCTACAAGAAAGCTGGAAAGGGACTTTTTACAAGGGCATGTAATAATAGAACAAGGAAGAATGGCTTTAAACTGAAAGAGGACAGGTTTAGATTAGATAAAGGGAAGAAATTCTGTACTGTGAGGATGGTGAGACACTGGAACAAGTTACCTGGGGAAGCTATGGATGCTCCATCCCTCTAAGAGCGTTCAAGGACATGTTGGATGGGGTCCCAAGTAACCTGGTCTAGTGGAAGGTGTCCCTGCCCATGGAAGGGGGTTGGTACTAGATGATCTTCAAGGCTGCTTCCAACCCAGCCCATTTCATGATTCTGTGATAAAATGTAACTTACTGTAGCCACCATTCTCTCACCAATCGATGACCTTCATTAGTGTGTATAACTCAGATTTTTCAGTGTATAGCTGTTTTGTAGCCTGTTGACATATTTGGCATTTTCTGATTTCCAGTTGCCAATAGTTTTTTAAAAATGAAGTGTCCTGAATGTAGATTACTACTGTAGCATCATTATATCATTTAAAAATACCATTCTCATTCAAGTCAGGCTAGCTATTTGCATTGGGAACGCTGACTGTTGCAAGACTATCGAGGTGTACTGGGGGAAGGACTTTTTAATCTTCATCTATATCTTATGTTCTTTTTCTAAGTATCCTCTGCCGATTGCTGTCAAAGATGGCACTAGATTCAAGAGACCTTTGGTGTGGTTTGGTACACTTCTCCTTTCCTTGTTAGGTAGGTGTCTGTGATGTCCTCTATGTCAAATCATTAATTTGATTTGAATTGTCTTAAAATTCTTAAGTTTGGGAAGAAAACTACTGCTCTCTTCCTTTTAACATGATTCAATTAAATTTGTCTGTGACATGGTGAATTTGCATTTCTGCTAGATTTGTCTTTTTTGTGCCTTTTTCTAGGTAACTTTATACCTTCTTGTCTGTTACAACTAATCCTGAAGAGATTGCCCATACTCTATGGCCCCCATTTATAGTATTACACAGAGTCAAACCCCCTCATTTTTTTCACTTGTTTTGCAGCCCACCATTCGTCTCTGGAATTTTACTTCTTCACTTGTTTGTAGGCCTGAAAAGGCCACCAGGAAGATAATTTAGAATTTCTTTCTCTTCAGTTCCTTCCCAAATCCTTTACATCTTCTATAATTGGTTCCAGTGTATGCTACCTTCATCTGAGTAGTATGACTGATGACTTTCTTCAGTTTTCTATTCCCTCTTTGTGTTTGATTTCCTATTTTTGGTCTATGGAGACTTAATTTCTTTTATTGTCCCCATTTCTTTCCAGCTATCACTTCCTGATTTCATTAAGACTCCTCAAACTGCATTTTTGACAACCATAGGGCCACTTAAAAGGGCTTTACAAAAGGTATTAAAACTTTTGAAACCCTCAAGGCAGATGGGTCTCTTTTGAAACTTTGTGATTTATTCTGCAGAGGAAGCAGAATAACCAAGCCCCTGGAGTGGAAGCAGGGGTTAGTCACTGTAGGAGAAACCCAAATGTGAACAATTCTTATAATGAGGAAAGGAGATTTAATGTATGTCTTCATTGCTTGAGATAACACACTTTCCTTTTACTTCTGAGCAGAGCACATAGCTTTCACTGGCTGTAACTGAGAAGCAGTTCATTTTCTGGGAAGTTTCTGAGAGAAAGAAAGAGAAATAATTTTATATATTTTATTTTAATAGATCTATGAGTTTATTTAATTTCAGGTGTAGCAATCTGAAAAGAGAAAGCATTCAAACATCTGCTAATCTGTAATGATAATCCCAATTCATTAATATGCAAAGCAAGAGACATCATTTTCAGAGCAACTTGATAAACTGATTGCAAACTGGTACTTCCAGTAGGAATAGATAAGAGGAAAATATTTCTGGTTTCTGGAGGAAGCCTGTGTCTAGTAGTGTCTGAATTTGATACTTATTAGAAACAAAGAAAAATCTTTCTTTGGTTGTAGGACTTGCAAATAATTAATTAGACCAACAAACCACACACATTTAGCCTCTCTCAGTTCAGAGGAAATTGTTTCTTTCTGGCTCATGCCATCAAGTGACAAGGGTTGCTTGATACTTCAAGCAAGAGTAATAGAGATAATATCTCTTAGGCCAGCAGTGATCAGTTTATATTCTGAAACTTGTTATTGATTTCACTTTTAAGTTAAAAGTAATGATAAAATGGGTCATAAAACTGTCCAGCTTTCAAAAATACATATGTCTGTCCAGCTGCAGTAGCAACAGGGGGCAACAGATCTTCAGTTCTCATGAATCCACAACTGAGGCTGAGCTATGACAGTTTGCACAAGTCCAGTTGCTGGATCCCTATGTTAGATTTTCTTCCTAGTTTGTCTCATTGTTTCCTTGCACCTGTGTAGTTGGCCAGTGCATAGCAGATGTCACTTTCAGCAAAGAAGAAATCTTTTCAATAGACACTGAAAGCAGCTTCATAAATATTTCCTAAAACAGTCTTGGGCCTGGATTTCTGCAGGATGGGAGCCTCAGAAGGCATTCATCCCTGTAGTACCCCCATATCCACTCTCCTTTAATAGTGTGGTACAGAGGGAAACTTATCTCATGTGACAGTATTTATACTGTATAAATAAGTCATTAGCCCAAAGCCTCCCTCAGTTACAATGGAGTCACTGTCTGAGATGAAATATCAGTTGTGCTTGGATCCTTTAGGTCTTTCAACTCCATGATAGTTTTAATCTACTGATCCTTGTCTGAATGCAACAATCCTCTGTATTTATTTTCAATATAATTCTGTCATGATCAGCTGAAAGAAGTTTGCAAAAGCTTTCCCAGTGGTTTTCAGCCAAGAGCTGTTGACAATTATACCTTCATGCCTTGTTTATGTCAATTGTTTAGCAAAGATAAAATCACTGTCTAGGTTTTTGTATGTAACTTCTTCCTTGTGAAGATTGAGCTAGACCCCTGGAGTTCAATGAATATTTGGGATATAGTATGGTTTTGTTCACCGTGAAAACTGATATTGCAAACATAGTAGAATCTGAATGAATCAGACTACATTTCCACCTTGTGCCTTTCATCCTTCTGTTGTGTACAGGAGAAATGGGAGACAAAGGACAGAAAGGCAGCATAGGACGGCATGGAAAAATTGGTCCTATTGGTTCAAAAGGTATGTTTAATTCAATTGTTTCTCCATTTGAGTTCCAGGTGAAAAATGTGTGATCATTTATGTTTGAGAAAAGTTTAGGGGCTAACAAGTCTCACAGTTTACCTTAGTAAAAATTTTCTCACACTGTAGTCAGGTTCTCACACAGACTCAGGTCACTGAGACATCTCAACCAGTTACTTTTTGCTGTGACAGCAGTATATTTAGTCTTAAAGCACTGTGAGTATCCTGGTTTGAGTATAAATAAGAACTTTGCACTGTCATACCAGCATGGACAGTTAAAGCAGATGGGAAGATGTGTTGGCATACTATTAAGAGCCAGATGTGTTATGGTGACTACTCCATAGACTTCCTATGTGACTTTGGTTAAGCCATTTGGAACAGTGTTTACATAATCATCTAGATTATGATTAGAAATTTAGTTATATCCAGCCCTTTTCCCTCTACAGCATCTGAATCTACTGGTTCTGTGAAGGTTATGAATGTCAAGAAGTGGATATCAGTACATATTATTTGGGTTCAAGTTTCATAGCTTTGGCTGGCCTTTGCTGTGGAATGACTAGGACAGAAAAATATTTTTGCTTGGGCATATTTCTACTTTCCACATTTGAATTTTACTAGATAAAAAATAGACAAGTGCTAAATGAACTATTGACAGAAAAGGCTGCATTAACATTATGTTATTTTTCATGTCTTCAGGTGAAAAAGGAGATAATGGTGACATAGGACCACCAGGTCCTAATGGTGACCCAGGTAATCCATAACACCTTGTTTATGATAAAGACTTTTCATCACTAGAAATGTATCTGTTTACATACTGGGGGAAATCATTAATGCTTTTTTTCATAGGTACTGTAGTATTTCACTGTGATATTTTCAAATGACTTAAAATCATTGGAGTTGCAGTAGTTGCTGGACTGGTAGTGTATATGCTAAAACAATTCTCACAGTTTCTCAGAGGAGTAATCTCTCCAGAAACTAGTGGGAACTGAAGTGCAGACTGTGTGTATCATTCATCACCAGGGCAAAGGGATGTCTCTATGTATCTCACTTTGTCTTCCAGTTAACACAAAGGAGCAGGTTGGATGCTCCTGCTCCTCCATGGATCATGGTTACAGGAGCAGGAGATTGCCAAGAGCACAGATCACAGAATGGGTCAGGTTGGAAGGGACCATATTGGCTCACCTGGTTCAACCTCTGCTCAAGCACAGTAATCCCAGACCACAGGGCTCAGACAGTTCTTGAATGTCTCCAGGGACGGAGACTCCACAGCCTCTCTGGGCAATTTGTTCCAGTGCTCAATCACCTGCACAGTAAAGAAATTCTTCCTCATGTTCAGGTGGAACTTCCTGTGCATCAGTTTCTGCCCATTGCCTCTTGTCCTATTGCTGGGCACCACCAAGCAGAGCCTGGCTCACTCTTCTTGTCATCACCCCTTCAGATGCTTACATGGGGGTATATGGATCTTCCAGAGGTATATAGATGTTCTAGAGAAACAGCCTAGTGTAAGAAATGCAAGCCTTGCAAGAGCGGCAGGTTTGGATTTGACTGAATTTGTTCTTTCCTGACAGAGTGCCTTGGAGGTGCACAGATTAGATTTCTTGTGAGAACATAATTTGTCACTCTGATTCTTGAGCCAGCATGCCATGCACCTGGCCAGCATGCAGTTTTGTATGGCATGTACCTTGTGCTTAGACTGATTTACACAACTGAGCTGAGTAATTGGGTAGTCCAATGCAGATTTTAATAATTACATACAGACCTGCAAACTGTAATAAATGCAAATTGTAATTGATCCTCATTTTGAGATTTGTGGTCAAAGATGTAACAATTATCCTTTTAGTATTCACATTCAGATTATCTTTGTCAAACCTATACCAATCTGGGTTAATAGATGCTTTTCTATTGTCTAATTTTATTGTCAGAAGTATTGTAAGTTCAGTACTTTCAAAAACACAGAACTGCATTTTGCAGGTAATTATGTGCATTATGTGGTTACAATTTTGGATCTGCTGTGATGTGTTCCTCAGGAAGAACTTGCAAACTGTTTTTTGCTGTGAAAGAAGTCTGAGAAAACTAAAGAAAATGGGAATTTCTGGAAAATGTTTTTAGTTAAAAAATATCGTGTGTGTGTATTTTGCAGAGAATATCTGTCTTTGTTTAGGTTAGTGCTAATTATTCAGGATCTAAAGATTTGTAGCCCTGTAGATCAGGGCTGAAGATTTGTAGGAAGTGAACTGAGCTGTTCTGCACAGGTTCAGACACCCCTGAGAATCATAATGGTGCAAGGTAGTGAAGGCTCTAATTTTCTATCTGTTTCTTGCAAGACAGCTTTCTCCAGGGCTGCCACGCTGGGCCTATTCATAAAATTGTTAGAGATAAAATTGTTGAGATAATTGTTGAAATTAGGTAGGTTTTTGATTTGGGTGTATCTGTATCGTTTCACAGGCATCCCTTGTGAGTGCAGTCAGCTAAGGAAGGCTATTGGTGAAATGGATATTCAAGTAGCCCAGCTGATGACAGAACTAAAATTCATAAAAAATGGTAGGTTAATTTTATATAACTGTTTTTCCTTTCTTTTTGCCTCATTTTATCGGTGCAATCGCTCGTAAAGAGCGTCACCGTTCCACATCTGATTTGTGAAGCTATTTTGGGGTGTGCAGTGAGTTGGTTTATAGAAATGCGAGTGCTCACTTTTCAGCACTGCCCTCCCCCGCAGCTGTCGCCGGCGTGCGTGAGACAGACAATAAGATATATCTGCTGGTGAAGGAGGAGAAGAGGTACAAGGAAGCCCAGCTGTACTGCCACGGCAGAGGAGGGACGCTGAGCATGCCCAAGGATGAGACTGCCAACAACCTGATTGCCTCGTACATCAACCAAGCTGGGCTCACCAGAGTCTTCATTGGGATTAACGACCTGGAGAAGGAGGGGAATTTCGTCTACTCTGACCGGTCGCCCATGCAGACCTTCAACAAATGGCGCAGCGGGGAGCCCAACAACGCCTACGACGAGGAGGACTGTGTGGAGATGGTGGCGTCTGGAGGCTGGAACGATGTTGCCTGTCACATTACCATGTATTTTGTGTGCGAATTTGACAAGGAAAATGTCTAAGCTGCTCTGCTCTTTCTTTTTTTTTTTTTTTTTTAAAGAAAATTTTTTAAGACAATTGTACGAGTTACACCATGTTTATAGAGTACTAGCGGAATTTTGCGGCATCAGAGTTGTACAGCTGTAAATACAGTTTAGGTATTTCAAATATCAGAATTTACCCTTCAGAAGGGAAGACCAGTAATAAGGCATAGCTTGGTTGATTGTTTTTTTTTTTTTTAATGTAGGAAAATATATCTATTTAGATAAAAATGTGCTTTGGGGCTAAATTTTGCCCTTACAACAGTTAACAAATGTGATTTCATGACTGTAAGGGAAGGCAGAATTTGGCCCCTAGTTATTAGAATGGTTAGAATTAGATTCCTGATATTCTTTTATCTTAGGAAAATTTGTAGTTATAGATGATAATTACTTGTGCTACAGGGATATTTTGGCAACAAGACAAATATTTTGCATACTCTAGTTAATAAGGACAAATATTACTATAGGTTTTTTGAATGTTACAATTATTTTTTTTTTTTTAACTGGTTAAAGCAAACCAGAAAGTCATGATTCCTACCAATTTTCTAATGTTTCTTTATTAAACTGTTCATAGATGTATGACCAAAAAGCATTTAAGTAAATTGAATTTTAGTGCTGAGGGAGGACAAAGTCTAGTGAAAAGTGTACCTGCCCATGGCAGAGGTTTGGAACTGAGTAATCTTTAAGGTCTCTTCCAACCCGAACTATTCTATGATTCCATGATTCTATGCTGAAAAAATTCTTATAATTTAGTAACTAAAGAGGGCTTCCATCCAGATGGTGTTTTGGGGTTGGCTAAATGCAAAAGTAACAATTAGATTTTCTGCGTTCTTTACTTAAAAATGAATCAGTGCATGAAGTATTTCAGAAGCTAAATTATTCCCTAAAGTAAATGTTTCACATTTTTTTAAGATAATCTTGGTACATCTTGTTACAAAACAAGCAAAATACCAGCCCTCCACAATTTAAGGCAGACTTCATATATATGCAATTAAGCTCATGAAAACACATTACCTATTGGTTCCTTTTGGTAAGAAAACAGCTTACATGTTTACCCAGATTGTTAAAATAATCCCCTGAAAAGCAGAAAAATTTTGGAAATTTTCCTGATTATGTGTATAGCAGTAATAAATAACTTTGCACAAATAATTTATGTACCAAATTTACAATTGCATATGATGAAAAATGTGATGTATATTTAAAAAAAAACCCAACAAACCAACAGCATAATTTCACAAAAGAAATTACTAATTACTTGAAATCTTCCCAGGTGCCAGATGCATGACACCTCATCTCCCTGTTAGGCATAAAAAAATTGACAAAATTTGCAAAATCTCTGACTGTGTTTTTCTTGCAATACTTTGAGCAGTGTTTTAAGATGATTTTTAAGGATAAAAGATCGTTGCATAACATTCTGATCAAAATGTGTGTCTGATGATAATGGCAGATTGGTGTATAGGATATCCACAGTGGATATGGCATATGGCCCCAAAGATTTCCTTACAACAAGGAAACCAATTCATATCAACTCTGCTGTGCTGTGGCATGTAAACAATCAATGACCATATGATGCTGTTCATTTCCACTGCTGACATAATTTGATTTATATACCTAAGAGAACAAACTGTTTTCTTGCTGTATTTACTCTGTAAATCTCAATCCTTTCTCTCTATATATATGATTGTTATTAATTTTAAAGATAATTAGCAGTACTATAGTATCCTATAGTATTTGACTCTCAGCCCAGCTACAGAGCAATCACTCAAAATGAATGGGTCCTTTGATTGCTTTACTTTCTTTTAATAAAGATAGGTATGATACTTGTGTGTTAGTCATTCTTCCAACTGCATATTGAAATCTATTAAACAATGTGAATCTCCTTCTACACCAATATTCAAAGATTGTAGAGTTTGCTGGGAGCTACAATTCCAATAGAGCAATTTGTTTAGAGTAGTGTCTTTTGAATATCATTGTTTCCTGCCTCCTATAGAAATCCTCAGAAACCATTTAAATCTCCAACATACTTTTGTGAAATCATTGGTGCTATATTAAAACAGTCCAAACCTGGGCTACAGATATTTGAAGTTCCCTCATTATGAGTGCTGAAGTTGCTGTTTTTCACCTAGGTTTTGCAAGCTTCTATTGTATTGTTCAATTTCCTCAGAAAGATGAGAAGATGCCTTTTAAGGAGATGGGAAGCTTTTTAACTGATGTCACACGACATTTTAAAGATTGCATTGATATGTGGAGCATTTAAACAGTCTCAATTTATATTAAAATTTAGGATAAAAAGTAAAAGCAATGGGAAAAAATATTTATTTTTCCTAGTTTTCATGTTCTTCACGATATGTTTTTTGCAATGCTTGATATGAGGTAGAAACTAAATTAGTTTCTTTGTCAGATACCTGTACACTGGCTGCAGCAGCCCTTATTTCACCATTTGGGCAAAGGGAGCAAGGAGAGTGTGTGAGGTCTCTAGCTGTCCTGCAAGGGGCAACAACAGCACATCTAATACATAACCCTCGGAGGAACTGGGTGAGAAATGATGGGGGCATTGGAAATGAATGAGCCCTTCATAATTTCTTTCACTCTCTAGTTGCTGATGCCTGCAGGTAGACCCTTGCTGGAGGCAGAAATCAATGTTGCATGTAGTGCTCAGCCTGCATGAAGCCTGCTGACATGCTTGGTAAGCTTTCCATTACTCTCCTTGGAATTTAGAACTGTTGTTTTTCCAAAAAATGAAATGAGTAATAAGTTAATTTTAGTTGGGGTGTTTTCCATGTGCATTAAAACCTGCAGTTGTAATATAATTACTCATTTTGTGTAGCTCTGCAGAAGCCTTTGGAATATGTCTGTCTGGCAAGCACAGGTGTTTCTCAGACTATGCTTATATGATCTATTTTGGATGGATAATTTTTCCTCATAAATATATCCCCATAGCCCTTATTTTTTTTTTTATTGAATAAAGGGCATCCTTTAGCATTTTAAAAAGGCAACAATCGCAGTTGTTTGTTTTTTTTAATGTAGTCACCTATTCATGTTTTCAAATGTCTTCTTCTCATAAAATGTGAATTTCATTCAACTGTACTGTGCACCTTTAACTGCTAAGGCTGTGTGTTGCAGTACTGGTGTCAGGGCAGACATGCACTCCCCTTCTAGGAGGGGGCTTGGTGAAGATAGAACATTGAACTGTCTGTGTCCAAGGGGAGCTCCACTGCCTGCGAGAGCTCTGACTTGCTGTAGACATCTTGGGAGAGCCCTGGATCATGTCTGGTCCTCATCACCATACAGATTTGCCACTCCACAACCTCACTCCTTGGTAGAAAGTGCTGCTCCCACTTGCCTTTTTATTTTGCTCAGCTCCTGGCTCACCATCCCTCGTGAACCAGCTGCTCCTCACTGTGCTCTGACAGCTGACATGATTATCCCCGGAAAAATGGGTTTCTTACAGGTTTGTTAGCAGCAGAACTTCTCCTTGACTGTGAGATTTAAATATTCTTATATCACAGAGAAGAACTGTAAAAAAAATTAATATTCATATGTGGGATATAGAGCATCCTTATCCATGTAAGTAAAATGGAGTTCTTCATTTTTCATAAGCTCAGGAAATGCCAGTTCAAATATGCTTTGCAAAATAGCAGCTGGTTGGACCTTTTATTGTTGCAGTTCTTGATGAAAAGCAAAGGAAGATGATATTAAAATAATTTTAATTGAAAAATATGATGAAGGTTCACAATGGAGGAAGACTTTTAAACTAGATATTTTCCAAGATGTTTGCTTTTAGAATTTTTCAGAATTTAATTTACAAATTTTAAAGCTTTATTTTGACCCATAAAGGGATTTGATTTTTATAACATTGTTAATATGTTTTACTCCTGTCAGTAAGAGTGATCTGTATAATGTTTGAAATATTTTACTTTGTTCTTTAGGTCTTGATTTCCAATGGGAACAAGTTATCTTTTTGACACTTCTGTTTGCCATGCTGAAAGACTGACATTGGAATTGTTTTTTCCTCCTGGGCCTGCTATGACACTGTAAATGCTTTGAGTACAAAACAATAGATAGTTCAATTACATTACATAGAAGATATTCTTAGTCATTATGAAAATTATTCATTTAAGTATTGTGTCATATAACTAGTAGTTTATGCACTGTTCCAAATCTCCAAGCCAATCATTAGAGAAGATAAATACAAGCCTTTTGAAACCTGAAAATCTTACAAATATACTTTCATCCTGAATTAAAACAAATATTTGTCAAAGTAACCATATTTACAGTTAAGTAGAAACTCAGGGTTTCCCCTATATCCAGATCTAGTTTTTGTGGGAAACTGAGTGACTTGTGATGGTCATGGCTGAATCAAATCCTTGAGTAGAGAATTAGCCAACAATGCAATGATGTGTGACTTTACCCTTTGCACTTTCTGAACTGCACCCCCTTAGCCTTTGTTGGTCCGAGAGCCAACGTCTTTTCACTGAAGATTCTGGTGTTCAGCTTTTGGCTTGCCTGTAGTGCTAACAGTTTCATCACTCTACATGTCTGCCACAGTTAACAGATGAAGAGATGGGATTTTTTCCACTGTGGGGACCTGGAAGTGCTTGTAAAACTGGCTGTGATGGGAAAGGTATTGTGCAAAACTGGAGCTGGCCACTCGCCCCTTCCTTGGGGTGCATATTCCTGGCCAGGGAGAGTCAGTCCAAGAGAAAAATGACCTTGTTATTGTGGGTAAAAAGAAACCAGAGTTTTAAGATTCACCTAGGGAAAAAAATGTGCAGTGAAGGGTTTTGAGTATTTTCTTTACAGATAAGCTGTGAGGAAAAACAGTTTGGTTTTAATTTTGCTGTATTAGGAGAGTACAAACTACGTGAAATGGGAGAGAAAGTGTTTGTGGAGAGGATGCAATTGTGTGCTCAAGGTGTTTTTCTGGATGTGAGTCTCCTCTTAACCCACAGCTTTTCTATTGGATGAGGAGGGAATCCTCTCAAGAGGGAGAGCACAAAATGGAAAAGGTGGAAGAAGCAGCTAGTGGATGTGCAGAACTGGCAGTGAGTGGGATGCCCATGAGGTGGAATGTAAATGTTACCTCCAGCCATTCTTCTGCTTCCTGCCAGGGAAGTGTAATTGTCTTGCACTTTACATCAAAATGTCTCACTGTGGCTCTGGATGGGTAACTCACAAAAATAGAGTG